CATGCGTGTAGTGTATGCGTGTGTGTTTTTGGGAGTCTGCGATATGTTCGTGTTTTCTCCTTGTGATAGCGTGGAACTGATGCCGACTTGAACTGTCTGTCAGCATACTACATCTTCCATCAGAGAAGATCGAATCTATTGTTGCATATAGCGATAGAAAGATAAAACGTCTCAAGGAGTTCAAAATGAATATTTATTATCATTTATGCAGAAATTACATGATCAGTTTTTCAAATTACACTGCTAGATACTATTTATATATAAACAGATCCATGTGGCATATCAACGACCATATCAACATTTATTACATACTTACTAATAAAAACGGATTTTTGTTTATATGCGATACGACACAATTGCTCTTACCAATATCAGCCCTCGCCGTATCACACCCAAAAACCCGTATCAGCCCTCTCCGTATCAGCCCGCAAAACCCGAATCACACCACTTTTGAAAACTTTTCGTTTTTCAATATTTCAAAAGAAAAATAGATCATAAGGTAGTAGATAATTCCGTATTTTATTAGTAAATATGTAATAAACAGAATAAAACATGACTTTTTCCAAATCACACCAAGTATCAACCCTCGACCAATATCAGCCCTCAGGCCTTCGGCCCTCGGGCTAATATTGGAATCTCGGGTTAATACAGGGTGGGATATGGAAAAAGGCGTGTTTTATTGTATAAATATCTACCATTCAACACATCTCTCACGATTTTGTGTTGAGGATTTCTTTGTTTACCCGTCAAAGACCGCTGCGATATGTATTACCTGTGAAACGACTACCGTTAAGTGACTATATATAACACCTATATTCAGTTACGATCATAAGTGAAGCTTTGTTCATTTAGCATAGGTCGATTGTAACGAAATCAGGATTGGTGATATATTTGGCGACGAAATCACTTTCACTTTAGGAGAGAGTGTATATTTCTTCACTCTAAATTTGTGTCGGCAATAGGATGTCACTTCTTAAATTGACTGTTGGTTCGTTTGGGGAGTTTGAGTTTCTAATTTAAAGTTTTTTTTGACTTCTGTTTACTTGATATATCTAACTACACACGTATTATTGATTTCCTTATTCAAACTTAACCAATAATAGTATTTAAAATAGTTTCTACATCAGAATATGATTTGATGAATGTATACAAACTGTGCACAACAATATCGATCGAATGCCACAACGTGCAAGGACATTTGTTCAGAAACACATTTTAATTTACAGCTGATATGCCTACTGTATACTAACGTTAATAATGCTTGTCTGAACGTTATAATTCACCATATGTTGCCTCGACATGTAATTAAATTTGTTAGGTACTTGATACATTAAAATATGATACAGTACTAGAGGATACCTAACATCAAGAATAGGTTTTTAATTTTCAAATAAAACTTTCTTTCGACGTTTGTCTGAGCCTGTAATTGCATAGATACACAGGAAGTGTATTGAATAAGCAATAAATACGAAGGTAAAACAGCAACAAACTGGTTGTCACACATTGTACTCCTTGTTAATGAGATAGAGTTTAATTAGATATCAGGCATGCTGTTGCATTTGAATTTAAAAGTTTTCATTATCAATGTAATTTGTCATATATTTTAAACAACACTTGTTTTGACTTCTTTAATTGGACTTTATTTACGTGTTCGCCAGAACCTGTAATTGGGTAGACACACAAGCACAGTATTGATGAAGCTTTAAAATACGAGGACAGAATAAACTAGCTATCACACAATGCATTCCTTGTAAATGAGATATATTTGGACTAGGTAGAAGACCAGTTTTTGGGTTTAAATCAATATGTCATTTATTTGATTAACTGTAGAGTCATTTGTTTTCGTGGAGTTAAAATTTCGTGGTTTTCATTTAAATCCTAGCCTGTTTCAAGGACATTATATTTCGCTGATTTCTGTTTTCTCCTATCTATTTCATACCATTTATGTTTTCGCAGGGATTACATTTCGTGGCTTTTTTTTTTTTGTTATCCACGTAATAAACGAAATTTATTGTCCAACGAAAATTGATGATTTTACAGTAAGTGTACGTCATGTATGTAGAAACTCAAAACGTCATCTTCCATTCAACACATAATTAAGATTTTTGCTCCATTTTGAAATGATCGAAGATTCCCTCTCGTTTTTTATATTTTGTAAAATTATTGTCGCCGAATACAGACAACAATACGGTGGACCAAACGACAGGTATATTTATAGCTTCTTTATTTTGTTTCGTTTCTTAACACCAACGGCTATATGTCGTCATTGTTGAGCAATTGTATATCCTGTTTCATGTTGTTATCGTTATAAAACTTAATTTTTTCATCTTCTATTCGCGAAATTTGCAGTACTCGTGCTGTTTGTCGTCCAACCTGATCAAAACATGACGAGGTCTGAAGAACCTCGGATTCGTCGAATACCATGTATTTCTCGAACTACTGATCTGGACCCCACAAGTTCGAGTAAGCGGATGTAATTGTATAAAAAAAAGTCATTACAAATAATTGTATGTCTGAATTGATTTCCTGTGAACAGCGTTAGTTTCCATATCATAATATAAATTAAAATTATTCATAAGCTTCAATAAACAATCGCCTGATCTCTTTTAAGAATGTAAGTTATAGCGAACTTTACACTTTACAGGGTCTGAATGCAATTGATTATATAATGATAATTAAGATGAACATATAACATTATGGCGATGACGATCATGTCGGAGGTGTGTGTGTGTGGGTGTGTGTGTGTGTGTGTGTGCGTGTGTGTGCGTTGGTGTGTGTGTGTGTGAGTTGTTGTGTAGATGTGTTGATGTGTGTGTGTGTGTTCATGGGTGTGTGTGGGTTGATGTGAAATAAATCTGAGAGCACACAGTGTGTTGATGTGTGTGTGTCGGGGATGGGGGTAGGGGTGGATATGTTGATGTGTGTATGTGTGTGTGCAGAGCGGATGCGAAAAAGTGAGATGTTATTAGATACAACGTATATAATTATTACCAGTTTGAAATCGGATGCACGGTACATGGCGCAAGAAAATCTTCCTGTGGGAGGACAAAGTGATATTGCAACTTGTTTTATTATTGAATGTATCCTTTTTCTTTCACGATAACACATGCACGTTTTCCTAACACAACATAGAGTGTTGTGTGTATGTTGAAAGGAAGCGGATGAGTCTGTTTATATATGAAATGTATCTGTCTATACATATACTACATACTAAATTTGACATATTTAATGGATGAAACCATAGCAACCTCCATCATTTATTTTTATCTCTTATATGTACATATGCATAACGCTGTAAGCAGTATATATATACACACATGAAAATTTGTTGCTGAGGAATTAAAATTCATTACATCGAAAGAAATAATGTGGCGATGACGACATAGCTTACCATACCGGGCCTTTGTTTTGTTCATGCCTTCTTTCTGTAATCTTCCTATGTGTAAACACTTAAGTGTTTGTCTTATCCAACCTGACATTAAGTGCGTTTATATGCAATATAGATAAGATGTAATTAGTTTTAAAAGATAGTATATAGTTCTTTATCAAACAACATCGAATTTTTCTTCACTAAACTTTTGAGAAAATTTCTAAAGGGAGTGAACAACTAAGTGTGTCACAACACCCCTTAAATCCAATTATTATCTTCCCCTTAACCAAAGAGAAAAAGGACGGGTGCAAATTTGGATGTTCTGATGATTATTGACGATAAGTTTGATTTTGTTGTCTTTACAATAAAAATCAACATTCTAAATTCTAAATTTTATTTGCACATTTGTATCAGTGAAACACAGTGAAATACATACATAGACATGTACATGTAGACATCCCTTCCGGTTATGCCGTCATGATATGACATGAAATTAAAGTAAGCTTATATACCATTATGAGATAAGAGGAGGTAAAGTGCAAAATCATAAATGGCATTTTTTACCATATTACTTATTGTTATTTTAAACATTCGTTTATAGTTCCGATTTTTGGTCCCCCAGTTTACCCCCCTCATATCTCGTACTGGCCACCAATATCCCCTCTGTGATAGCCACCAAAAGACCCAAATTGGCACCCCTCCTTTGCCTGAAAGCATGGTTTCCTACCTAAAGTACGTACATGTTATATTCGAACATTTTTTTCTACTTTAGTTTTTCAATGTTGAAATTGGTTAGGTAAAGCCTATTCATTGTACAGTACAATGAAAGTGAATACATAGTATTACTCAAAGTTAACTGCAGAAATTGAGAATTTAACAATAAAAGATGATTAGATCTTGACACAAACAGAGGCAAAGAAAATACTTAACAGTGATAAGTGGTTCCTATTCCACTTGTGAAACCATCGAGCATACAATTTGATGCATTAGACAGTGTGAAATGTATTTATAACAAAAAACAATAATTCAATTAAAACCCAGATGTTTTTTCCAAGAAACACAAATTGCCATTCATATATGACAAACCTCCTAAGAGTGATGGTTACAAGACGGAATTATTCAGAAAGAAATTGTAAGCTAATTTGCGAATGAACATTTCTGGTGCAGCTAAAATGCACTTTGTCGTAAATAATAAAGAATGTTATGCACACCATTCCGTTCTGCGACTTTTCACACATCTTTGATTTTAATTTTCACTGAACCATCTCAAAATATGCTTATAACGTATCATATAGTTTATAAAATTTGAACTATTACAATTGTTACTAGGCCAGCTGATCATTAAGATCATTATTCCGATTAATCGCAAGGTAATTTGTATAAAACAAGTTACCAGACTTCTGTTGTGGTATCCCAGCTGTCGTGTGGATTGATAACTATGTTAATGTGTCACGTGAGGATATCCGCTGATAATACATACATGTACCTGTTATACACCATCTACTTGCTAATAAAAACCCAGCAACAGAACAGTGTTTCAGAATGTGATGTGTTAGTAGTACCACAATACTTGACTGAAGTAGCAGCCAGATACGTGTTATTCAAACGCTGTATTTTTTTGTACACGAAAAAAATTCGAGTACTGTTATTTCATATGAAAATACGAAGTAATTGATGTCATGGCATCGAATGCAAATTCGCAAACTAAAGGTAAGTGCAATTGTTAATTAAGAAATATTCTTAAGAAATAGAAATTTGGCAGAACATTTATAAATATATCTTATCAGTTTGTTATATTCAGTCCCATGCTAGTCCACGAATGTATCTTTGCGATCTTATAACAGATTCACATTTCATCAAGATGTTTAACCTTGTCGATTTCATCGCTTGCTATGATGTCGATGTTTTCTCGATAAGTTATTAGGGATAACACGTTAAACTAAGCCATTCTACTGTATATCAGCTCATTGAAATTTATCATAACATCTGTATTGCTCTAGAAGAAAAAAACCATGTATGTATGGTATTCTGCGATATTTCTAAGGCTTTTGATAGGGTTTGGCATAAGGGTTTGATGATTAGGTTAAAATCCTATGGAATTTCAGGGGAATTGTATGATTGGTTGGAAAATTACCTATTTCAGAGGCACCAGAGAGTCTTTTTGAATTCTTCTTACTCCGACTTAGGTTTCATTGAAGCAGGTGTTCCTCAGGGTTCGATTCTTGGACCTCTTTTGTTTCTTATCTATATTAATGATATTGCTGATGTGTTTGAATCAACTTCTCGTCTTTTTGCAGACGATACTTCTTTGTTAAAATCATCCTCTTCATGTCTAGAAATCCAGACGGTTATGAATAGAGATCTCGAGTCTCTTAATGCATGGTCCCAAACTTGGTTAGTAACATTCAATCCAGAAAAAAACTGAGGTAATTTTTGTTTCAAACTTGGTTGAAATTGATGAAGATTTACAATTAGAATTTAATGGCGAATTTTTAAATTTTACTGATCATCATAAACATTTAGGTGTAATTTTTAATTCAAGTGCAAAATGGGGGGATCATATTTGTGCAATATATATTTCAGTTATGAAAAAATCAACGTCTTACGTAGACTAAAATACTTATTAAATCGTGATAATCTTTTAAAGATTTATAAATCATTTATTTTACCAGTTTTAGAATATGCTTGTGAATTGTGGGATGGTTGTACAAATTATGAAACAGAAATGTTAGAGAAAGCCCAAAGAGAAGCGTCTCGTATTATAACTGGTCTTCCTTCATATGCACGAATTGAAGACTTACTTTTTGAAACTGGTCTAGAAACTCTTTCGAATAGAAGAAAACGCAGAAAACTCCAACTTTTGTATAAAATACACAATAAATTAACTCCAGACTATTTAAATTCTCTATTGCCATCTGCCGTTGCAGAAAATAACCGTTATACCCTTAGAAACAATGATGATTATAGAATTCGTCCTTTCAGGCTTTCTCTAACAAATTCATCTTTTATACCTTCAACTCTTCGCGGTTGGAATTCATTGGACCTTTCAGTACAATCATTGCCCTCATTACATTCTTTTAAAATCTCATTAACTTCAAATGTATAATCTCCTCCCCCAATTTACTTAGGTTTCGGAGAACGTAAATTGAACATTTTGCATACTAAACTTAGACATCAGTGTAGTCCACTTAACTATGATCTTTTTAGAGTAAATCTGGTCGATAGTCCAGTTTGTTATTGTGGCCATCCCTGTGAAAATGCCTTTCACTTTTTTTTTGTGAGTGCTTACTTTTTAACAACGAAAGACATACCCTGCTCCTAAATTTGAATGCCTTGCATGTTGATTTTAATTTAGAACTACTTTTGTTTGGAAATAGTCAACTTTCGGTAGAAAACAACATAAGTATCTTCAGACATGTGCATCATTACATCAAATCCAGCAATAGGTTTTGAAAGTAATAATTAATTTTCTATTCTTATTTAAGTTGTTGTATGTGTTTATGAAATTGTATTTCATTATTTTGCCTGATTTATTTGTTACATTGATTCTGTTCGTTTTGAAAGTACTCTACCAGGATGCATGTCATGAAATCTGTATAATTTATAATTGATTCAAATGTGGATCAATTTCTCAGTTTACAAGTTTAATTTTCAAGGTAACACCCCTCCCCTCCACCACTCCCACCCCCTCCCACTCCACAGTTCCTTCCTTCCTCAACCTATCTTTTCCCTTTCCCCAAAACATATACACTTTTTTACAATATGTATTGAGGAGAGGACTCTATTAAGTTGTAATAACTTGTTGTCCGATCCATTTGTATATTTGTACAATAAAATATGTTTAAACTTAACTAAGCCGGGATGTGTTGCAATGCTGACGACGTTTTCTCGATAAGTTATAAGGAATGGCACGTCAAGTTTAGTCAGGATGTATTGCTATGCTGTCGACGTTTTCGAGATTTGTTAAAATGTAATGCACTTTAAGGTCAATCGGGATGTACTGCTATGGTAGCGACGTTTCTCGAGATAAGTTATAAGTGTTGACACGTTAAGTGTTGTCAGGATGTGTTGCTATGGCAATGACGCCTTTCGATAAGTTATAAGAAATTGTATGTTAGTCCGATCAGGATTTATTGCTACGGCAACGATGCCTCTCGATAAGATATACGGAATTGAACGTTAAATGCAGTCAGGATGTATTGCTATGGTGACGCCGTTTTGGAGTGTTAAGGAATTGCACGTTAATTGCAGTCGGGATATATTGCTATGGTATCGGCGTTTTCGAGATAGGTTATAAGGAATGGGACGGTTCGTGTAGCCAGGATGTATTGCTATGGTGACGACGCTTTTCATTAAGTTGAAAAGGAATTACACGTAAAGTATAGCAAAGGTGTATTGCTATGACAACGACGCTTTTCGATAAGTGTTAAGGAATTGCACGTTAAGTGTGGCCAGGATATATTGTTATGGTGACGACGTTTTCTCGATAAGGTACAAGGGATGACACGTTAAGTGTAACCAGGATGTATTGTTATGGTGACGACGTTTTCTCGATAAGTTATTAGGAATGACACGCTTAGTGTAGTCATAATGTATTGCTATGGTGACGACGCCTTTCTATAAGTTATAAGTGTTGACACGATGGCCAGGTTATCTCACTATAGTGTCGGCGATTCTCAATTAGTTATGACAGATGGAACATTTAGTGTAGCCAGGATGTCTTACAGGAGTGACCGTGCCTTTCGATAAGTTAAAAGAGGCATCAGGGTAATGTTGTACTCTACTGAGTTAAATCACTTCAAATCTCGCTTCGATCCATTGTGATTGTGTTATATTTTAATTTTAACTAATTAGGATCAATTTTAAAAGCATACATGCACCTGAAAAATATCAAAAGCTAGATACCTATTGTTTGCAGACTGATTTTACAAGTTAAAAAATCTGATCACTTCGGTTTCCATTTGAATATCCAAAAAAGTGTTTTGACATTACATTTACATGTTTATTACTAGAAGTATCATTGTATCTCCATCTTGAACTGTAGAAAGTAGTTTTTACTTTGTACAAGGTTTGAATTTTCAAAACAGTTTTTTTTTTCAAAACTGATGACCAAGTCAGGACCAATTTATTTTTTACGACCGACAGTATGTATCATGTGTGTATAGATCTGCACAGTCATCGAGGTGTTGCTAGATATTATATTTAACAACGCCGAGTACAGAAGGTGACATCAGATATTCTGTTGCTTGAATGTTAGTCCGAATTATTCTGACGTTTTATCGACTTTTTTATATCGGTCTGTCGTCGATTAACGTCAGAACTCCGGCCCTCTATAAAATGCGGGAAATAAGCGACCAGCGCCTGGGTCGCTCTTCAAACTGATATTTTAGAAACAAGTCGTCACTTTCACACACATGTTGCACATGGATCGAAAGATCTATTCTTTATGTACTAGGTGGTATCAATAACATGTTTCAAAGAGCATTACGAACGATATTTTCCAACGTTTTCTATACCAACCCATGTTTTTAATGGAAATTAGGGCATGAGCAATATCACATGACTTGACGAGATCTTGTGTTACCGAAGGTATTTCCCAACGTTATGACGTAGGCCGTCGATATTTTAGTCACGTGGCATTAGAAGGCGGGGCTATCAAAAACGTAAAATAAAACAGAGTAAGTTTGAAAAAATATGTTTTAGTTATTGTATTGGTTGTTTGAGGCATGTAATTTATGTTCATCTTGTGCATAATGAAAAGATCTTTCGATCCATGTGCGACATGTGTGTGAAAGTGACGATTTGTTTCTCAAATATCAGTTTGAAGAGCGACCCAGGCCCGGGTCGCTTATTTCCCACATATTATAGAGGGCCGGAGTTCTGACGTTAATCGACGACAGACCGATATAAAAAAGCCGATAAAACGTCAGAATAATTAGGACTACTTGTATGTATATAAACCAATTCATGAAGACATTTAGATAGTGATGCAAATGAATACACAGGTGTAACATGCCGTCGATAGTAAACATTGCCATGACTTTAATGGATATGTATATATATATATTTGCTGAAACTCTGTAATGCTTAAACTATTAAAAATTTATTTATTTATTTCTGTAGTGAGGTTTCAATTAGATGATAAACATTTAATTTGATATGTTAATAATACAGTATCTGGTCTTGTAAAATTAATATAAGTCTTGATTTACACAGAAGATGTTTTTAATTTATGATTCGATTCCAATCTAAATGAGAGTAAATATATTAGCAGGTAAACACCTGCTACCTAATTATGCAAATATAATTATAAAAGCCAATTATCATAGATATGTCATTTTTTGATACAAAAAATAGTTTTTATCATGTCAGAAATACAAAGTACATGTACTACTAACCTACCTCAGGATACGTACGTTCAACATAGGCAACATGAACAAAAGGCAAAAGATGAGCAATGGAAGTATGAACTGAAACACTCCTGAAAAAGCATAAGGAGAGTATGACTTTATGTTCCGGATATCTAGGTCAAACCCAAGTTATGGCAACAAGACAACACGGCACATTTGCTTCATACCTTATTTGTTGCATATTAGCTTACACATTCGTCAGGTAAATATCATTTGATTACCAAATTCTTAAAACTAATAAATTATACAAAATTAGGTAGAACACCACCGTCTTTGGTCAAAGGAATATTCTTTATCGACGGTTAAGGTGACTGGGAGTCAAAAATGTTAAAAATAAAAAACTTCTTATAAAGATCCATAAGGTCTAAACGGAAATGCCTATTCGCTGTGACAAATGGCTATCCACGTCAAGCGTTTGATCCCTTTATCTGTCTCACAGATAAAACGTGTAGGCAAAATGATATGATCATGGATGGTTGTTTTTGTTGGTGATTTCAGTTAAAAGATTGAGGAAAACTGCTTAAGTATAAGAGTCTGTAGTGTCCTTGTTTTCAAGCTCCGGACGGGGTATACAAGTTTATACGACCGATCAGGTCAATATTTGTTTTATACAGGTATTTTACGATAGCATATCATCGATATATCTGCCTTTGAAATTGATGATTTGTCTAGGTTTTTGTTACATGTCCATGTTTAACTTATCAATGAAGTAAGCCTCATATCTAAGAGCAAAATATACCACAGTGTCGACACACAATAACACAATGTATTACGGTGTCAATACAAATGAAAAAGTAAGTACGACAACGCTAACACAAGGGAAGAAGCTACAACAAAATATAAACACTAAACATCAAGTATATCACAACGTAAACATGTGTTACAGGAAAGAGAATAGTGTGCTTCCACTGGGGATCGACCCTCGATCTCCAGGTTCCGCGTCGGACGTTCTAACACTGAGCTAAAGGGATTTTATTTTTTTATTCAAAATTTTTGTTGTCACATTCAAAACATACAAAAATATGTAATATCAGTAAGAGTAATGAAATTCGTTCTAACTCGAAGCTAGAAGGCGACCGTAAATTAAAATCTGCCGCACACGTAAGACAAAATATCCAACGGAGTCTATTTAAAAGAACAAATATGTTCTACAGTGTTAATGCAACACAACTATTAAAAAATATTATAATCTTAAAAAATAAGGTTGTACGGCAGAAAAGTTAAATCCCAAATACGGTGCCCGACTGGAAAATAATTTACTTGGTATATTTTGGAATTTGAAATAAAACTCAAAAAATAAATTTAGAACTGAGTTGTATATATTTGCTTCCTTTTCAGGATATGGCACCCGTCATACCTTCACGATTCTGTCTTTCATTGGATACTTCCATCTATATGCGTTGCGGTTCAACATCAGTATCGCCATAGTAGCTATGGTTAAACATAAAGACACTCTTCCAGCCAACAATTTCACTGAAATAACCGAATGTCCGGACCCTGGATACAACAAGACAACGAAAATGTCGAATCAGGTTAGTAGTACAATGTATTTGTTATATAGTGATGTGTACCAAAGGCATTTCCGAATTGTATGTGCGTCGCTTTTCGCCGACAAGACAGGTATGCTAGGAGATCATAGTTTTTCTTTGTTGGATTTTCAATTGGTTGTTTAATATGATGAATAAGTGCAATGATAGAAGTACATTACGAATGTCATTGTTAATGCTATCGTAGGATTTGTTGTATTTTGAATAGCATTTCCAAATTCAAAATTCTGCAATATAAATTTAAAGAGAATAAATGTACTTCAAAATCGATATGCTATAATGTTAGGGAACCCTATATAGTACACATTTCATATTTATGATGCAGCATTTTTATTTTGAAATTCTAATTAAGAGTATCTATTCTTAAATAACAAAATTCATATCGTTTTAAGCAATTTCAGCAAGTGTTGCCTGCATACCTCAGGTATTTTGCTCATAAACACAATATAAATCTTTAAAAAAAATGTAAGAAAAATAATCCCGGGAAACAGCACGTTGCGACAACGTGAAAATAGTATCAAATTTTTTAACAATTTTTTCAAATGAAGTTTTAAATGAAAAAATGTCTAAAACTTATCAGAAATGTAAAAGATATCATGAAATGAAGCAATATATTTTCATCGATTTAATTAAATGATAAAATGCTCATTTTGGTTACCCGGCAAGATGAAATTTCCAAGTGAATATTACTCAACTAAATGAGGTTTATTAATAGACACACGTTATGGTGAGTGGTTTGCTTTTTGTTTGGAGTTTAAGTCCTCGCAACATCCAGGGCTATATAGGCCGAGCGCCCAGGCAGAAACCGCCTTAAACATATGTTTATATGAATCACTCTTGTTAGTCCGGATGTTAGCGCATTGGAGGTCTTAGTGTGGGAAGAAACCGGAGTTCCTGGTCACAACCCATGTGGTCGGGCAGGTGACCCAAACCTTTTCACGTCCGATCGGGGAATCGAACCCCGGCCGTCTTTGTGAAAGGCAAGTGCGCTATGCACTGTACCACCCGACCACCCATGGAAACAGAAAACAGATAGACACGAAAAAAGACAGGAAAATTATGAAACGAAAACAAGTTGCAATGGGGGCAGCAGATCAATGTTGGTCTCTTCCATGTTCCTTCATGGAAACAAAAGAAACCCCTGATTCTGCAGGGGGCCGACATTAGTCGCCTTCTTCGATACACATGTGGTGGGATACGGCAGGTCTATTACAATCATCTGTTACATGGCTCCGCCTGAACATCTGACTGTGCCGCGGTCAGGGTCACGTTCAAGTGACCTTTAGATGAACCAATCAGAGGCGCGCTGGCAAAAGTTTGCCAGCGTATCGGAATACCATGGTTGATAGATAAATAACGAGGGGTATCGAACAGATTAGTCCAAAACAAATATGGCGGCGGGAACTGACGTTTCTACGACGCCAAGGAAAACGTACCCATTGGGTAATTATTGCGTAGGCAACACCGCCATACAGTCTTTCTTCTCTAATAAAGCTTCGAATATCTTTTTCTGTTCGGGTTTCAGACGATCAATCTCAAATAACTTCAGGACTTTCGCATCATTCTCATCAATGTCCGCCATATTTGTTGCAACTCCGGACGCCCTTTTAAAAGAGGGTCTATGATTGGTCAACATTTAATGAGTATTTATAAATATAAAGGTCACTTGAGCGTGACCCTGACCGCGGCACACTCAGATGTTCAGGCGTAGTACGAAGTTGACGAAGCCATGTAACATATGATTTTTATCAGATTGGGGATATTATTGATTTCTTCAATGTCCCCTGATAAGAAGGTGCCCGACATGTGTCACCTCGTACAGTCATGCAGTGGGATACAGTAGATTCTTTCCCCGAACCTACACGGGTTAACCCTGGTGATACCAAGTAATACATAAAATAAAAAGTTAAATCCATCCTTTGTTACATTGAAGTGAGATAAAAAGTGTTCCATTTTAGGTACCCTCACATTACAGGGTAGTGCAATTTGAAATCTGTCTACGTTGCACGTTCAGGTCACTACTACCATAAAACAATGTCTTTCAACGGACTATCATTTCAGGCTACCTATGATTGGGATGAGGCTACCCAAGGGCTGATACTGAGCTCTTTCTTCTACGGGTATGCCCTCACACAAATACCTGGGGGATTCCTGGCAGAGAAAATCGGAGGGAAGAGGTTGTTCGGATATGGCATTCTCATAACCGCCATTCTAAGCCTTCTGACACCAGTATCTGCTAAGGTCGGTACTTGGGCAGTGGTGATCGTACGGGTAATGATGGGCCTCGCCGAGGTAAGCTTTTCGTATTTCTAGTGATAACTATATGTTGTACACGAAATTTAAATAGTCAAACGCTATCGAAAAGTTACAAACTTTGTACGTGTCGACAACATCCTTGTTTTCTGTTTACATAGCAATTACAAATTGCGAAATTCTACAATAAAAATTCAAATAGAATAAATTTGCTTTAACGTTAATACATTTGGATGTCATAATGTTAAAGTTGGATAAAACTGCTCACAGACGGTTGCCGTATTTAATTGCAATATATTTATACTGAAAAATGCAAAATTACTCTGCGATGCAATTATTACTGTAGAATTTTATTTCAAATTACATAATTTCATGAAGAAAACATGTTTTCAAAATGCAAGTTAAGAATAGATTTAAAGTCCTGTCACATGGAAAGAAAAATTTACCAATAATGTAAATGCAAGTTATTGATAAGCTCATCCCAGCATTAAACACAAATATAACATTACCGACTACAGAATGATACACCTTCGGCGCTGACAACAAATATACGCAAATATCATTTCTTAACAGGGTGTTACCATACCTGCTCTCTCGTCAATGCAAGGGAAATGGCTGCCAAGATTAGAGAGATCATTACTATCAAACATAGCCAACGCAGGTAAATTGATGTTGTCGGTAACAATCTTATAACCGAGTAGCTCATTAGTTTATAGCACGCAACTATTTATTAACGATTGCTTTCTCGAACTTATGGCAACATAATGAATATTTTAATCATATTTCTGATATAAAAGAAACATTTTACAGAATTGACAGTTCAGTCGTCATTGCCTTTAAACAGTGCTTCGTGTGACCGTTTATACTATTTCGTCATATATTGCAATTTTATTAAGTCTGAAGTAAAACGTAATTAACACCATCAGACGCCCTTGTTAACTTATAAAACAGCATTGCACATAATATATTGATATATTTTCATTTTCATGATATTTGAATATCACAATGGTTTATCAATTCTTGATATGTTGAATTACATTTCGTCGCTTTGCCATATACAAACCTGTGTTAATGCATACATATTTAGTAATAATAAGACTGTAAATAAATACATTTTTTGTAATTATGTTTTTTAAACTCAAACACTTTAAAACAGAACATTTATCTCTGATAAACAAAATGCAGTTTAACGAGGCAGGCTAAAATTAGAGTATATTATTAAAAATCAGGTTAATAAAACTGGTTCGATGAAAGTTTACTTTCCAATGCTTAAAGATAGTTTCAACGTAAGACAGTTTTATAAATTAAACCATGCATGCATGACGGTTTGTGACAATCTTTTTCATGGCAGTTGCAATACTTAGTATTAACAAAGCAGGTGTCTTATTGTTTCAGGTGCTCATTTCGGTAACGTGATCTGCTTACCTATAGCGGGATATCTAAGCTATTCTGATACACTTGGGGGATGGCCCTCTGGATTCTATATATTTGGTAAACAGTTATATTTTTCTAAATACGCTGGTAACTGGTTTACATATTATTTTGCATATTAGATGAATGTGGCATAAGGCTAGTAGTTAGCGTTTGAAAAGGCAGCTCCTGCGAATTCCTCAAAATTGTATCGATTTATGCATATGCTAATTGTATTAATTGTATATCTATGTACTGTAAAGCGTTTTAGAGTGGTTTCGTTTACTAGATAGGGCGCTATATCAAATGTTGTATAATATTGTATATCATTACAGTTGCTTTTCCGTTCAAGTAACTGAAAACATCATCATAATGAAGCTTTCCGTCTAAAACTACGCCTACGTTTTGTTGACGTCCTTTTTTAATTTCCGTGTAAATATACATATTTGTGCTATATTAAGAATGACATTGTTTGTGTTGAGTAGTTTTCCAAATTAATTGATTTTGAAATAAGCAACAAACAAAATGAATTCATACAAAGTTGTCCTTTAAACATCACAATGGCTGTTAAAATTTAATCCTGTTTCTGTTATATGTTCTTACCAAAGGTGGAGCTGCATGCGTATGGTTCTTCTTCTGGCATTTTATGGTATTTGAATCCCCTGCAGTACATCCACGCATTGCGCCGGATGAGAAGCAGTACATCGAAAGCACCACAGGCGTCCGACGTCGCAAGGTATTATTCCACCATGATACGCTAGACTAAACCGCGGAGTGCGGTCCCGGAATCCGGGACATCGAATCAAGAATATTACTGATATTATTAAACATGGGACAGGGGGATTTACAAATACATAATCAGTTAATTTTCCAAACTTTTCATCTTAACAATAAGATCGCAGAATCTGTAATTACGGCATGTTTATTACGTGTATTACATGGTAAACGTATATGATATTTATATGTGTTGCTGATCTGTCGAAACGTTTAGAAACAACTTATTACAAACCTTATAGAAAAAACTAAACATTAAATGTTTCAATATACTGTAAACTGGGAAACGTTCGCTTAGTCAAATATTGAATGGTAAAATTCATTTTCGCCAAGTGTTAATTTCGCCCTTCAAAGGTAATAACTGTACGGAATGCGGTGTTATAATATTTGCTGTAATGATAATAGGCGAAAGTTCAACTTTGGCAAATATTTCCCTGTATACAGTATATTTGCCATATGTTATTACTTTAAAATCATTTTAAAGATTGGGCTTCGTTTTGAAATATATCATTTTCACTTATATATTGTTAAAGACACCTAAGATGCATTATAATTGTATCGTGCAATGTCGTTTAATTGAAGTACAAATGTTCTATATATCATTGGCCTATCAAACGTATGGTACCATTTTCACCTCTTTCAGCGCTATCCAACTCCTTGGAAGGCTCTTCTGACGTCATCAGCAATGTGGGCCATCATCCTGACAGCTTTCCTGCAAACATGGGGTGGTTACGTCACACATACAACATTGCCAAGATACATGCACACCATACAAAAATTTGATATCGCACAGGTGTGTATTTGTTTGACGGAAAGGGAAGCAATTCCAGCAGTTTAGATTACATCTTATTGTCTACACTGTTTGAATTACTTCATTGTCCCATTTACCAATTTACAGTGATTTGTATACTACAAGTATCCATTTTTTGGGGATTTATCTTTGGTATTAATTCTTTGCCCTAAAAATATTTTTTTAATATAATAATTAGAGCACTGTAAAGCTTTGCGAATGGTATGACAGTTTGATGTGTATTGGATTTTGACAAGTCGAGCCCAAACACACGCGTAAATAAGCCAACTTAATTATATATTCAGTCCAAAATACAAACCAAAAAACGACAATGTCACTTCAATGATCTTGTCATTGTTTAGTCTATATTAATCCTGAACGCACATTCGCTAAGTTCGACTGGAGAATCACGAGAAATACTGTGGTAACTAGTCCATTCATGTATGAATTTGGTTGATTTTACCGCTACCGTGAGTTATAGGATATCCACGGAGTGTGGTATAGAGAACTAAAATAATATGCAGGTATTGATTGATGATAATCTTAAGACTGTGTTAAAATATATACTAAAGAAAGAATGCAAGGTACTGTAGGGTTATGTATCATATCACAGCTTCATGACAATGTATGCCAGTTTCGATTTATTTTGTATAATGTGTATACAATTATTATCATTGTAAAAGGAGTATCTTATTTTTGGCTTTGTGTATTGTCTAAATGTTATAGTAAAACCCTTTTCAATGATAATTAATTAAAAAATTATTTAACAATAAAAAATCAGGGTAATATGATTCGGTAGCTGACAAAGTGACACTTGAATCATTTGTATTTCGCGCCGTCTTAACTTTCTGGTAAATTCACGACGAGATGGGATGGCGAAAACAAATATCCCACAATCATCTCCTCAGACACTATGCACCAAGGATCTTATTGCTATTGGTGTATTTGCGCAAACTCAAATCTGCACGAATATCTCCCTGACAATAATACTTAAAAAACACTGTAGGCATGATTATTACCTGATGTACACAATATGTACCAGTAATAAAATTCGGAACACCTCTTAAATCCTTCGCCCTTTATGATATAGTGGAATAAACTAGTAAATCAATTAAAAAATATAAACTTTATTTACTTTACAACAATTATGAAACAAGTTATTTCAACTTATATTAATCACTCTTGCTGGCCCGGATGTTTGCGCGTGGGGGGTCTTGGTGCGGGAGGAAACCGTAGTACACGGAGAAAACCCACGTGGTCAAGCAGGTGACCCCAACCTATTCACGTCCGAGGAATCGAACCCCGGCAAGTGCGCTATCCACTGCACCACCCGACCACCCTTACTGTATCAATTTTCTTAAATATGATTTTCAAGACGGCGCGAAATATATATGATTCAAGTGTCACTTCGTCCGCTACAGAATATCAATTATCAATTCTTACAGGATGGTGTCCTGATGGCGTTGCCGAACCTGTTCAACATATTCGCAAGTGTTGTCGGAAGCTGGTTTGCAGACTTCTTATTGAAAAAGAAATGGCTGTCAACAGTGGTTGTGCGGAAACTACTAAACACCTTAGGTACACATTACTACTATGAGGCAAATAAAATTCAATTTCTTGAAATGAAATTAATCTTAGATATTAAGTTTTTAAAAGATTTTCGGCCATTTTCCTGTCAAATACATTATTCAACACCTTTGATTTTATTTTGCTCCTGTTTGACGCTATTGTACTCGTTATATTTTACTTTGAATATTCTATTATTTGTAACACTTTTTATCTGATAATATGACAAGTATTTCGATTTTAAGACACGAATGAAAAAAAAAAATGAAATAAACTTTATCATAGGGGAATATTTCGTTCCTTTAATATACCGTTTCGAGAGTTGACTGTTTGACTCAAGACACAGAGCTACATGAACATAGGGGATATAGTATCGATATTATTAACCTTCTACATTGCATACACAATGGAATTTGATTAGTACGAATGCATCTAAATAGTGCTTAATTGCAACCTATTCCGCTTTTAAAGTCAGAGATATTTTTCGATATATGCACATAAAGCTAATGATCCTTTTAATACAATAAACATGTCAGTAAAATCTGCATGCATACATCAAAATGTCAAAACAAATTCATAAAATTGAATCAAATATTTTACAATATTATTTTTGTTATACCACAGTTCATGAATATAGCGAATTGGTGATGAAACATCATTTTGAAAGCTTGTCCTCAAATTTGCATCCCATTATTGCAGGTTTACTTCCGGCCGCGTTATGCGTGCCATTTATCCCCCTTGCCGGATGTGATCACGTCACAGTGGTCGCGCTTATTGTTGTCGGAAACGGTATGTTGGGCGTGTGTGGGTCAGGGCTATGGGTCAACATCCTGGATATCGGCAACAACTTCTCTGGTGAGTAATTTCTTATTCAATCCACCACAGAAATGAATTTAATTGATAATATAAATACTATATATAGGCATATCGATCTAATTTGAAGGTGTCTCTTGTTGAATTGCACTATTGACTAGTATGCTAATATATTTATAGAAGTAAATATATTAGAGATTGTGTCGAAATAAGCCTTGCTTTATTTTTTAGGAGTTAATCTCAATTGTATGTGTCTCATATATATCATTACAGGAATAACGATGGGTCTGGCCAACTTTTCTGCAAATTTATCCGGAGTTATAGCCCCTTATTTTGTCGGCCTTATGACAAATGATAACGTAAGTATGGGGTTTGTGTTCATTTAATATAGCTTAAAAGTAAGACAACACACACAAGATCTGGTCATACGGTACACAAATTTGCATTTTACATTGTGACGTTACAACCTGATGAATTTCTCTACCTTCGGCAACCCCTGTCTTTCTGGAACTTATCGATTGTTATTAGTTACTAAAACTTGATGAATCAAAACAGATTTAAGTCTTAAACAGTCGGATTGTAGGTTTAAGTTCTCGAGAAGCAAAATTGACTGTTCATTTAGAATAAGTATGACTGAATCAATCATGCGTAAAAATGAATAAGGATACTAAGGCAATATCACTATTCAAAACTTATTGCACATGCGTACACGTGAACTACTACTGCACTACTTATTTTCTATTCTTGGGAAATAAGGCAGACACATATTTGTGTATTGCTTATTTTGTGTCAATTCTAATCTTTAATAAACAAGCAACATAATGACGACATAATTAACCAAATGCCTTTTATTAATAATATTCATATACAGTTATATATTAAGACTGACGAATATGTTGTTTGTATTGCAAAACGACGAATTGAAGTTGTATATTATGCATAACAGAAATCATTTGGTTTCTTTGTCAGTAAAGTATACATATATATATGATCTATTTAAGCCGACTATAATATTTAAAGTGACTTACTTTCAAGATTGTTGATGAATAAATTGATAATTCAAATAACAGCGTTTTTGTTGATTTGATGTTCATTGGCTGAAAAGGGGTATTTGGCTATGGCGGATAACAGATTAACCGCTAATGAATTATAAATTGACAGAGTATGATCATTTGTTGCAGTAAATACATACTTTGTTTAATTTTCTGCATCACCCTTATACTTGTTCTGGTGCTTACTTCAAGTCACAAGGTGGTCGAATCTGCTATCTAACACTGCGATTATTATAGCGCGGTGTATATGGAATAGTTATCTCAAAAAAAATATTCTGCTGAAGGTTTAAATATAAATCTGTAACGTTATATAGGGATTTATAGTTATCTTCTCCTTTTGTTTTCCGATATAAATAACACACGGACGAGTTTCACATAGTTTTCACTTATATGGAAATTGAAACCTTACGAAGTCTATTAAAGGTCATGTAGGGTATGTTTTAAACTGTTTGTATAACGAGATGAAAAACAGTCTGAGAAAAAAAAGGAATGTCATATGAGAGCAATGAAAATAAATCAAACAACTGCTACGTCTTAGCTGCGGAAAGAGTAGTTTTCTTGTATTTGAAATTTGAGATTCTCATGTTCACATTTTATATCAATTTCAAAGTAATATATATCAAATACAAAACATAAAAAAATATACTATCGACCCGACATATTTTGAAACTAAAGATATTTTTGCTGACATTTTATATTACTTTTGAAATGATAAATATATATAATTTAATTTTGCTTGTAAAAAACATTTTCATTGGCTTAAAAATGTATGTTATCAGCCCATAACGTAAAAAAAGACGTCGCCGTTTGTAATGTCACTTTTGTTTGGCTGATACAGCAGCGCAATAATTTCTAAAAGAAAAGAGTCCATCAATAAAAGTGGATTTCCACAGGGATTGTGTATAGTAGATTAAATTATAAGGATTAAATTGATTATATTTTTCATGTAATGGAGCTATAACACAAAAAACGGAGTGTACTCTCATCATAAACCGCTTCGCGGTTTATTTGGAGTACACTTCGTTTTTTTGTGTTATATATCGATAACATGAAAAATATATTCAAGTTAATCCTTATATATATATTTGTAAATAAAATATTAAAAGGAAGCGGACTACATTTAAAAGTTTTAGAATTTTTATGTTGTCACATGTTTTTATGTTCAAAACAAAATATATGAATTTTTGAAAGAAAATTTAATCGATGATCGGATCTCATTTTGATATTTTATTATATTTAGAATGTTTTTGTTGATTTCAAAAGAAAATATCTAAAAATCTAAAATGAAATAAAAATCGATCGGACCATGAGCTACGGTTCCGCTAGCAGTTCTAAATAATAATTTTACCATCATTATATTCATTGGTACCATAACCTGTATCAATCCTTTTACAGGAAACAATGGAACAGTGGAATTCAATATTCTACGTGTCAATGGCTCTCTACCTACTAGGAATCTTCGTCTTCATCGTCTTTGCCAGGGGGTCAGAACAATCGTGGAATCATCTACCACAGACCGAAACAGACATTGACGAACAAGACAAGGAAAAAAACAATACTCAGGACCGGGAGATAAACCAGTCTCCATATAATGGAAAAAACACCGAACATTTATGAATTATTTGCGGAAGCCATTGCTGCAGAGGTGGTTTTACTAGAGGGCTGTGTACACATTGTTTTCGAGGATATTATACAAGCTTTATTCAAAGCTCTGATACTCGATATTTGTGTAACACTTCTGACTTGTTCGTAAGGGATAAATATTGCAAAGTCGATTTAATGGATTTGTTGTGTCAGAGATTTTTTTTTATATTTATCTCGAAATGAAGGGATTAAGGCTGTCAGACATGTAGTATACTTCTTACTGACAGAATATTTACAGCATTTCACTCACTAAAAAAAAAGGACAATTTATAGTATCGTCATATGTTTCAGCGCGTTGTGTGTTTTGGCGTGGCCAATATATCACGCTGTATCTTAGGAATACCTGACCTGCGTGACCCTAGATAAATTTATTTTAGACGTTTACATATCATCTGTACACTGCGAAGAAAATACCGGAAGTTCGCAGGAGTTATAGTTCATAAAGAAACGCGCATAAAATGTCCAGTTTCGCTAAAAATACTTTAATTGTTCTTTAAATGGACCTATTCCTGACCCAGACAGTTTTATCATCTGCCAAACGCACAAGAGATTCGTATACACGGATACACTTTCTCATTAACTTTGCTTCCACTACCGAAGAACAAGAGACATATTTACATCATTACTTGAACATTATTTGAAAAACAACAACTGTTTTGCCAAGAAATTTCTCTTTGAATGAAATAAGGGAAAAGAAATATGAAAAAAAGAAAAAATACTATTTCAGAAAAACTTATAAGACAATATGAAGAAATTGTTACAAGGTCTGATTTGGTTTGATTTGGTTTGGTTTAGTGTTGTTTAACGTCCTATCAACAGCTTTGGTGATTTTATCAAATTGTATGAATTAATTAACGGTCAACAATAAAAAGTTTTTAAAAAAAGTTTGGATAATACAAAGAGAATACTGACAGAACATACTAAAATTAATAATGACCAGTAAAACATGTGTCTGTACGAGCCGCTGTGGAGAATGACATTTTAGTGTATTCGTGTTGTCTTTCTTTGAACACTGCATTATATTCGCCTCGTCGAAACCGATGACGGTCATTCCCGGCATGAAGACCGTGTTAAATTCGCGTGATGTTAATATATCATGTAATGTTTGTCTTCCTCTTATTGATTATATTCCTGTTATGTAAATAAAACGTTGGCATAAGGCACTGTTGGCAAATTAGGGTATTGGGTGAATTATTCTTCGGAAGTGACATTATACAGAAACGTTGAGTGAAACTCGAATTGGTGTTCCCGGGATTTATTCATAACACGTAACGTGATCCAGACGCGATGAGTGAAACACGATTTGATATTCTCGGATTTCAAAATATTATACATGATTCAGACGACTCTTTGAGTGAAACTCAAATCAATATTGTTGCAACTAGGTGTACATACATGTATTACAATAGAAAGTTCAAATGATGTTACTGGAGAAGGGGAAAAGTATGGATAAGGCGGAGTGTGGAACGAAAAGGGGAAGAGGGCAAATATATATTTAACTGTGATATTGAAACATGTAAGCGGATAGGAGATGTTTTGTGTGATACGGTCGTAGAAAGTGTAAGGTTGGGTGAGCTATGTTTACGAATATAGCTTCGCTGTGATACAGAATTATGGAAGGGAGTGTGACGAGGTCGACTATGACAGGGATATGGAAATTATGTTGCTGTTTCTGATATGCGAGTGCAGAAAAGGTATGACTAGCTGTATATGGTGAATAAAAATTGAAGGGTTTTTGCCGTTGTGTGACATTGACATATTGAAGGGGTATAGCTAGGGGTGAGATAGGAATGTGAGGTAGAAGTTTGGCTTAGTGTATAGTACAGGGGAATGAAACTGTGAAGGGGTAGGATTGTGTGTAAGGACAACGTATATGTGGAAAGGATACGACTTTGCGTGTGATACTCATGAATATTTACATTTGCTCTGCATTCTTCCATTGCAATGCATTGAGAAGGCAAATGTTGTTTTGAGACGCGCGACATGTTGATTCAATTACCCTTTATAATGAACATTTAGCAGGGAATAACTGAAACAAGTTATTGTGATATTTAGGCAATTAATGATAAACAAAAGTAAGTTGTTGGATTCTGAACGGCCAATCGACACAAAAAGTCCATTAGTTTGGCTTGGGTTTTATTTTGTTTAACATCCTATTAATATTAGAACCAATTAAAAGTAAAAATTGAAACGAAATGACATCTAACGAACATAAAAGACAAAGGTCAACTTCAAAAGTAAAATTTGCTACGGTTAGTTGTATTAGATTTTAACTGTTTCGAAAGAGGTTTGAGATCTGTTATTTCATCATAAAAAATGTTTCTTGATGGCTGAAGGTAAATGCAATCAAAAAACAAATGTTTTACTGTAAATGGTTCGAGACAGGTTATGCATTGTGGCTGGTCTTCGCTTTTCAGTGAATACGAATGGGTCATGTATGAATGACCAATCCGGATACGGGCTAGGACAACCTCGGTCTGCAATTTTCTCTATAACTTGTATACCATTCACCTATTTTAGGTTTTACAAAGTGTAATTTGTTGCATACGGAATCATTCCAGCTATTTTAGTAATTTGACCTAACACAATTATTTGTTATTAAAGGTTTACAATCTGTCAAATGAAGTCTAAAACAACAGGTGGTTGCAATAAGCCGCTTTACCTTTTTAGTTCACCTGAACCAAAGGATGACATTTTGTACAAACTGAGTCAGAATCATCCTCACTAAATTGTAAATGGAAATAATGACCAAACCCATAGCGGGGCCCAAAAGGGAATATTAACCAATACTATAAAAAATCTTCTCCTACAGACTCGGATGGACTACAGTCAATTTCTGTGCATTGATAGAAAGATCATTCTGGGTTATATTTATACTGTAAAGGGACTATTACCAGCTATGTTAAAATTACATAGGAGCCTGCCCCCTCATAACTTTTGTTTCAGAAGTGCTACGGGATTAATGCTACTGTTTTAACTTTTTTCAATCCCTTATACATCTGGAGTTATTACTTTGAATCACTCTACTAATTATTTCGATGATTAATCAACCTAATTACAGTATGGTGGTCGAACAATTGAATATCAGCCTGAACGTATTTTTCTGGGGGGAAAATCGTGTTTTCTGCATCGTAATACTTGGGAAAGATTAATATATTTATCATCCAGAATGTGAAATGTTAACGTAAATGTTTTATAGATGAAGAAGTGGTGTTATTTGAAATATGTATGCGAAAATACAGTCCACAATAAGTGGCGGAAGGTATTCATTTTGCACAACAAAGTACCCTGTGTACCGAAAAATGTAAGGGCCTAAGACACCTCCCTGGCGTTCACCAAAAAAAAAAAAAAAAAAAAAAAAAAAAAGCAATACACCTGATTACATGTAATTGGTAATATCCTTCAATAAACCTTTCAGTGCATTTTAGGTTACAAAAAAATACAAATTCAAGTTTGCTTCATCACTTGGCGTGATTGATAAAGCTTTGGTTAACAATCAATTTAGAGACCAAATGTAAACTCCTTGTCACTTTTTAGAATTTGCTCTTATACATTTTGTTTTAATTTTTTATACATTTTATTATGCATTATAATATGACTCAGGCATGGCCTGGAGAGAGCGCAGCTCGTAAATTTGTTTCGATCGTATACTATAATTTTTGAATCATAACATTACCCATTTTAATACATACAAAATTTACCTGTAATTGTTTTTTTTTATAATATACTTGAATCTGTTGCTGGGCAAAATCATTCATTTTGAAAACAGGCATTGCCTGAAACGAGAGAAGCGTCTAAATGCCGGTTTTTTTCAATTTTATTTTCTAAGTAACATTGTTTAAAATATTATCTATTTATTCGTTTTATAACGATAAATGTAAAATTAATAATAAGTAAAGAAAAGCAATCGAATGAATTATGCAGTTCAAGAGAAAACACAAATGCATTTGGTCCTGTTGCATTTAATTGCCCCGTCTATGGCCTCAGCGTAATGTTGCGGAAAGACTGAGGCCCAGTAGAGGGACTTCATATTTGAAGATGTATTGTTTATCAAATGTAACTGTTATTATCTGTTATTATAAAAGTTAAGTATATTGGTGATTAAATTCCAATTTTATTTTCCGACATGATATACTTTGCCTGATCCCTCTAAATCGTGTAAAAAGAGAATCACAAAAGCCCAAACATATCCGGATTTCCGTCTTGGTTTGGTAGTTACTATATACTTCCGGTTTGGGTGGAGAGTAGAAAAGACTGAAAATTTGAAAGAAGCTTCAGTTTCTATAATTTTTAATGTCATGAATTTACATAACCACAAAAAAAAAATTATCAAATAAAAAGATATTTTTGAGAATGTGTAGCAAAGCTAAACAGCATCGTAAAAATAGGACCGCGGTAACTCTATACTATCTACTTCCGTGACGAAGGATTTTGGAAGCATAGTATTTCGACGTTACCATGACTTCAATTGTTCGTACACATGTTACCGGAAAAGAGCTTCGCTTCTTGCGCCTTCGGCGCAAGAAGAGCTGCGCTCTTATAATCAAACTTTTGTTTTTACATTACTTTTAGGGAATATTTCATACTCATTTGTTAACTTTCATCTTATAATGAAGAGCAAATGTATTGGTAAAGGTCGCCATCGTATCCTCGCTAAATCTCGTCAATGTAAAGGTACACGAAATTTAAAAACAGAAGCCATAATATAAATGTCTTTTGGATATATTGACTAAAAGTGGCATATATTGCTCAAATCAAGAAGTTAGCATTTGACCGAAGTTCTATATAAGGTATCTGCGCAAAAGAGAATCTTAAACGGATCGTTTTGAAGATGAAACTACTAGATGTATTCCTCTCTCAACAAAAAAGGAACTGTTTTACATTTTTGTCTCTTGGATGACCCTAGCTACAAAGCTTGGACAGGTTGGTCAAAAACAGTCTCTCAAAATCCATTCACACTTGGTCCAATTCTTGTACTACAGAATGAATGGTTTTTGAAATACCAGGCACGGAAATGACTTTATCAGTTTTCATCATAACCCAATACAGTGAAAGACCATTTTGTGTAATTTTGGTCTATACTGAGAAAGAAAGAAAAGTGATAAAGTACATGTATGAATGAATAAATAATTTTAACATAGCAGGAAATAGTCCCTCCATTACGTT